ACACACACACACACACATACCAGCCCCATTATGTTGATGGGGACATAGCGGGGATGGCCACTGAGTGTTCGCTCCTCACTCACTCGCTGATGGTTAAGCCCCGACACAGAGGGGTAATTTCTGGGCAGCGCGGGGTCGTCAGCGAGGAGCGGTTCCTGTGTGGGCCTGATAAACACACAGTAATCCTGTCACATTGTCATCTAATGCACCAACGTTGTGTGAAGTAGGAAATAAAATGCCATTGTCTTTTATTAAGTGCTCGAGTCTCCTCTTAAACTGTGCTCGGACGCCAACGTCTGCGGCTGCCGAGCGGGCTTTAAAGCCAGAGTGAAGATAACATATGAAACTAGGCATCCATTGGCAGAGGTGGAAACTAATGAAAGTACATTTTAAAGTAGTTTTTTCAGGGATCTGTACTTTTATTTTTACACAAATATCTGTACTTTCTACTCCTTACATTTATAAACTGGCTGCGTATCTTTAGCCCGTTAAGTTAGCTCATTATTCATTTTTGGGGTCTTTTTTTGCACATTGCCCAACTTCAAGACTGAGGGATATCATGACACGATACATAACGATGACAAGAGAAAAAAGACGTAAAAGACGTAGCAAAACAAGGGTTGACCCTGTTTGAAGTTTCAGTTAGCTGGTAGAAACCTCCTTCAGAGAAACCAACAGAGTACTTTAATACTTTGAGTACACTTCAGAGCCTGTACTCTTTCACTTCATTCAGTACTTCTATTTCTTCTTTTACACATCTGGTTCTACTTGAGTAAGAAATGTGTGTCCTTTTTCCACCTCTATCAGTTGGTGCTACATAACGCTTCAAACTTAGGCTCTATTTTGGCGAGGGAAAGATCGGCACTGCCATTTCTAAAAGGGTCCCTTAACCTGAAGATCTCTAACTGAAAACCCTCAACAACCCTCTACATAAATACCCACTTTATGATAATCCCTTGCGTTTTTGTTGCATAAATGTGTATATTACACTATATTATATTTCTACCAACTGTGTACTATACACACTGGATATGACTGGAAAGCTCCTGTGGATTCAATGAGCCTAATTTTATGTATGTGTGATGATGTCAGCCCCCCCAGCAGCCCCTGCATTGCAGTGAGACCATTATTTATATATAATGACCTATAGTGACCTTGAGGAGAATCACAGCCTTGTGTAAGTGTACAACCACAGAAGAAGAAGTGCTCGCCATCCAATCTCCCAAAAATGTAATTCTTACTGAAATCTCCAAATGTCAAACGTTTTGGATAAAAAAAACAAGAATTATTTGATGACGTTCTCAAGATTTTGGTGTTTTAATGTGGTATTTTGGAGGTTTTTTGACCATTTTTTAAAATCAGTTTTCAAGTAATTTAAAACAGTTAAATTTTACATAAAATCTGTATAACAAATGTAAACAACCCAAAAACTGCTGCAGCAACTTATGAGACACAATAGAGCATGGGAGATACACTAAACTTTCAATATTTGAATAGGCACCTAAACAAATCTGTTTATTACAGATTTATCAGACTTAGACTTAGACAGACTTTATTTGTCATTTGGATTTGTATCAAAATGAAATTACGTTGCAATAGCACATAGCACAACAGGAATAGAGGAGAGGCAGTATGTACAGTCAAAAAAAATAGATATGCTGATATAAAACTTTTATATATATATTAAAAAAAGCTGTTTGCCATGACAATGTTACTAATGTTAAAATCAAATAAAACATAAAAGTGGTGCTTTGGCATACTGTGGCATGATGAACAGTTCGAAAGCACATAAAAAAACACATACCGACGTAATTCCCCTCGCTGCCACCTCTAATCAACTCACAGGTAACGTCTGATCTGACGTGTATTCAGATGAAATACAGTAGAACGTGGAGGTAAGTTCCCACTGACACTGTGAACCAGTGGGCGATTACAATGGGACATTAGAGATATCATGGGGCCGTGTCAACAACCAGTTCCAAGCAGCAGTTTGTACCAAGAGTCTGCAGTTACATTAGTGTCTCTGTCATTAGTTGGACCATAAACCAACGCAGTGGACATAATGTTGACCTGATGATGGCGGTAGATGAGATATTAAAGGGGATAACCAAAGTTATTACAGTTTATCCAGACAGGACGTAAATGTCTGAAGCAGATTTCATAGTAATCCATCCGATAGCTGTTACCCCTGAGACCGGATCAAAGCTGTGGAGTCACAGAACGGTACTGCATCCATTAAACCAGGCTCAGGTTGGACGTATGTACGAGTATGTTCAAACCTCTGAGAGCCAAATACTGCCACGTGGCCCTCGGCTTCAATGTTTCAATGTTATTCAGGTAATTATAGGATCATCTCTGGATGCTCAGGACTCCGTGGTCAGGTTAGCAACAACACGTACACAACGTCTCATTAGACTTTCCAAACAAAGCTTGCGTGGTTAACATTGTTAGTGTTGTGGAACAGATCGTAAGGTTGTTCCTGAAGTGGTCTGCCATCATTGACCGATTAACCGATGTGTAGACACTGAGTCCTTCAATAATCTGCTATAAATACACCACAAACTGAGGCCTCTGTTATACTCTGACACAGGACTGAAGCGTTTTGCCAACTGAGTTTGAACTGGTGAGATGTTAGTGAGAGCAGCTGGTGAGTAGGGTGTGGTGATTTAAAGGCCTGTAGGATGAAGAGTGAGCTATTGATGCGATTTATCCTCAGACTTTGAGGTTAGTGCTCAGTTTAGCAGTGTGGAGACTTGTTGTGGACACATGAGCTTTACGTTTTCAGACATATGTACATAGTTTGTTGTGTGTAAATGAGAAACTGTAATTTCCTGGGCAGGATATATGAAAGGCCTCTGAAACTGAATTTTGAACTTTATGGGACACTAACTCTTTAATAAAACCTATTTCTAGAATCTAATAAGTAAGTAAGATCTAATTCTTACAGTCATTCAGTGTAGTGTATTATCATCTTATTTAGATATAATTTATTATTTATTATTATTACCCTGGGACCTGTACCCAGGGTCCCCAACATGTCACCGCCCTGAAGACTCTGGATTGGTTCTGCAATGCAGTGTTTTTTTAAAGTTGTATAGTTTTTACCCAGTTTTAGCAGCGTTTAGCAGTGTTTAACGCAGTGGCCTCAAACTCAAACTGTCTTTGGGGCCACAGCTGGTATTGTCGTCCTATGGGGGGGGGGGCAATATTCTGAAAACATGTCCATTATGTTCAATTATTCCAAACAGCAGTTTCTATCATTTATATAATTATTTAATGTCATCTTGTTGTATTTTAATTAAATATGAGGGAGTAGTTTAAATTAAAACAACTAGGACCAACAATACTAATCTTGTGAGCCACATTATACTATAATTGTGACATCATGTTGAGGGCAAAGGGAGTTTAGAGTGTGTGTGTGTGTGTGTGTGTGTGTGTTGTGTGTGTGTGTGTTTGTGGGGTA